TTAAGATAGAACTTCTTAATGATTGAATCTCTGACTTAAATTCATTCCTGAGTTCTTGAGTATTTTTCTGTGCCTCCATATGCATGTTTATAATTTTTATTTTGAACTCTTTTAGGAAGATTGGTGAGTTCAGTTTCATTTGGGGCTTTTTCTGGGGCTTGTGAGATTTTAGTCTGAACCATGTACTTTTGACGTTTCATAATTCTGTGTTGTGCCCACTAGTGACAAGAAGCTCCAGTCTCTGGAGCTGCTCAGCCCCTAGAGTGAGGTTGGAGGTTGTAGGGGACGGGAGCTGGTGCCTGGCAGGAGGAAAGGTCTGTTTCCTGATTCCTGTTTGCAGTGCCTGTCCCCAGTATCAGAGCCGAGCACACAGGTGTAAGCCTCTGTCCTTGGCATCTCTAGTTGTTGTAGGCGGGGCCTCCCTCTGGCTGGCCTAACATCAGCCGAGTGACTGCCAGTTTGCAAGCCAGTGCTGTCAGGCCAGGAGGAAGGATCAGCTGCATGTCACAGGGGCGGGCCTCGGAGCTGAGCAGGCAGCCAGGGGGATGGGGTGCCTAAAGCTCCCCAAAGTTCCCAACCAGCTGGGCAGAGTGCACCCAGACAACCTTGTCCAGCTCTCCCTTCTCCCATGCAGCAAGCTCCGTGCAAACCCCATCCCTTCATCAGCCTTCTCGCTGCTAGGAAGCCTCTGACTGCCTGTCTTTCTTCTGACACAGAGCAGCCATATGTGGATCCTGTCCTCCACAAACAGCCGGAATGCCAGTCTCTCAAGCACTCTGCCTGTCCGAGCTCCCCAATGTCCAGAGCACCACACAATGTAGGTTTCTACTCACAAAGCAAATCTCCTGGACTAGGTGTTCAGCAGTCCTAGGTTTTCACCCTCTCCCTGCTCCGTTTCTCTTCCTCCTGCCGGTGAGCTGGGTTGGGGGAAGGGCTTGGGTCCCGCCAGATTAAGGCTTTCCTAAATTACCCTGTTTCTTGAGGTCTGCTCTGTTGGTGAGGTCTGTATGCAGTCTGGTTCAGTCTTCTTTCTTGTTGCTGTTTTAGGGTTAGTTGTATTAATTAACTATATTTTTGTACTATTTGGGGTTTTGGGAAGAGTTCTCCGTCTCACCTCTCACACTGCCATCTTCAAGAAGATTCTTAACATACTCTTTAGCAAACAAGTAACTCTGCCCACCTTGGAGGAAGGGCAGACAGTCTTGATTAATAAGCTGATTTTGCAGAATTACCTAGAGGACTGACTGATAAGAAACTTAATGTCTTGGACTACATCAAACTAAAAAGCTTCTGTACGGCAAAGGACACCATCAATAGAACAAAAAGGCATTCTACAGTATGCGAGAATATATTTGTAAATGACATATCCAACAAGGGGTTAACATCCAAACTACATAAAGAACTTAGATGCTTCAACAACCAAAAAGCAAATAACCCGACTAAAAAATAGGCGGAGGATATGAAGAGAGAATTCCCCAGGAAATTCAGATGGCCAACAGACATATGAAAAGATGCTTCACATCACTAATCATTAGGGAAATGCAAATTAAAACCACAATGAGATATCATCTCACACCAGTAAGGAATGGCCAGCATAGAAAAGACTGAGAACAACTGCTGGCGAGGATGCGGAGAAAGGAGAACCCTCCTACACTGCTGGTGGGAATGTAAGCTACTTCAGCCATTGTGGAAAGCAATACAGAGGTTCCTCAAAAAACTAAAAATAGAAATACCATTTGACCTGGGAATCCCTCTCCTTGGAATTTACTCAAATACAAGTTCTCAGATTCAAAAAGACATATGCACCCCTATGTTTCTCGTAGCACTATTTACAATAGTCAAGATATGGAAGCAACCTAAGGGTCCATTAGTAGATGAATGGATAAAGAAGATGTGTTACATATACACAATGGAATACTATTCAGCCATAAGAAACAAAGAAATCCTACCATTTGCAACATGGATGGAGCTGGAGGACATTATGTATGCTCAGTGAATAAGCCAAGCAGAGAAAGACAAGTGCCAAATGATTTCCCTCATTTGTGGAGTGTAACAAAGCAAAACTGAAGGAACAAAATAGCAGCAGACTCAAAGACTCCAAGAAGGGACTAGTGGTTACCAAAAGGGAGGGGTGTGGGAGGGCAGGTGGGGAGGGAGGGAGAAGGGGATTTAGGGGTATCACGTTCAATACACATGGTGTGGGGGATCACAGGGAAAACAGTGTAGCACAGAGAAGGCAAATAGTGAATCTGGCATCTTACTACACTGATGGATAGTGACTGCAATGGAGTATGGGTGGGGACTTGATAATATGGATAAATGTAGTAACCACATTGTTTTTTCATGTGAAACCTTCATAAGAGTATATATCAATAATACCTTAATAAGAAATTTTTTTAAATAAGAGAAACTTAATGTCTCATCAAAGATACTTGAGACAACTTAACAAGCCCACACCCTAACCCTTTGTCACTTCCTGAAAAATCCTTAAAAGGGGAAACCCCCAACCTCTCAGGACACTCCTCTCTTTGAGGTCACCCACAGTTTCTAAGAGTGCAACCTTTTAATCCTAAACTCTCTCTCCAACCTTTCAGGGCACTCCTCTCTCTGAGGTCGCCTGCACTTCATTCTTTCTAAGTAACTTTAAATAAAACTTTTATTCTGCTGCAAAAACAAAACAAACAAAACAAAATAAATAAAACAGACTCAGAGACATTGAGAGGACACTGGTGTTTACCATGGGAGAGGGGAGATAACAGGGCACAAAAATTCTCAATATAAGCTAGTCACAGGGATAGCAGTATAGCATGGAAAAAATAGCCAATGATTCTATAAAAGGATCCTATTTTGACAGGTAGTAACTGAACTGGTGGTGGGGGTGGAGGTGGGGGGTGGATTTAATAATATGGGTAACTGTTGAACCACTGTTATAATACTGGAAACCAATATAAGATTGTGTATCAACAATACTTCAATTAAAAAAAAAACCTTCCCATAAAGAAACTCCAGGCAGAGATGGCTTTACTGGCAAATTCTTAAAAATATTTAAAGAAAAATTAACAATATTTTCACAACCTTAAGAAAAAAGTATTTTCCAACTCTTTCAATGAGACTAGCATAACTTTGATATGAAAACCTGATGTGAAAAAGATCCTAAATGTTAGAAATATAAATCAGTGATATATTATCATGACCAAATAGTCTGGGAATGCAATGGTGGCTTAAGCATTTGAAAACTGATGGAATTACATCAACAGAAAAAAATAACTACATGATCTTGAATGCAAAAACAACATTCAATAAAACCTCACAGCCATTTATTGACTTTAAAACTTAGCATTATGAACAGAAGGGAATTTCCTTAATCAGATAACGGTATCTTTAAACGCAACACTATAAATTTTAGAAAACATTATACTTAATGGTAAATTATTAAAAGCTTTTCCCAAGATCATTCATGAGATAAAAGCTTGCCATTTTCACTATTTCCTAGGCAACGCTGTCCTGGAGCTACTGGCCAAACACTTCAGTAAGTCAAGAAAAGAAAAAAAAAAACTACTGATGATACATATAGATAAAATTGTGTGTATAGAATACAACGCCCTCCCCAAATACAGACAGACTCAGGAGAGGTAATTTTAGCAAGGTAGCTGGATATAATGACAATACACAAAAATCTATTTTATTTCTACTATCCACTACCAAAAAGTAAGAAATGCGAATTTTAAAAAGGTATCTTTTACAATTTCACAAAACACTAAAAATCTAAGGATTAAGTCTAAAGAAAGATGTTTTAAAACCTCTACACTGAAAACTACAAAGCATTACAGAGTTAAAGATCTAATTAAATGGAGATACACATTCATGGATTGAGCAACATCATTAAGATGTTTACTCTCTCCAAATTTATAGATTCAATGCAATCTCAATCTAAATCCCAGCAAGCTTTTAGAGGTGAGGCTGATTACATACAAAGTTTTTATGAAACTGCAAATGAGAAAAGAATAGCCAAAATGTTAAAAGAGAAGACTTTGTTTGATTATTGTCTTACAATCAAGACAGTGTGGTACTAGCCTAAGAATAAACAACAGATCAACTAGAGAGCTATCCCATACAAGTAATAAATTATCTTGACGTTGGCACCAAATCAATAGGAAATGAAGGACTTAAATGACTCTGGGAAGCCTTATATATTAAGGGGCGGGGAGGGAGAGAAGGGTGTATGAGATAAAGAAAGAAATAAACCTCACCATACACAAAAATTAATTTGAGATAGACTGTAAATGTATGGCTTCTTGGGTGCATGCAGATTAGAATGCAATTTGGGATTGGCAAAGATTTCTTACACTAAACACCAAAAGCAACATTTAAGGAAAGTAAAAGATTGAAAATTTTGACATTAAATTAGAAGCTTTGTTCCTCAAGACACCTTACTTTAAGGAAAGCCACAAGAGCAGGGAATGTATGAGTATATCAACCAAAGGCTTATGTCCTGAATGTATGAAAAATTCCTTAAAAAAATTTAGCTACACAGGTAATCCAGTAGAAATATAAGTGCAAGACTGGAAAAGGAACATCACAAAAGAAGTATATCCAAATGGCCAATCTATACCTCAAGATAATAAAAATCTAGTTAAATTGAAAAAGTGCAATAAAAATCCACAATGAGGTCCTACTGTATAACTTACCAAATGGCTAAAATTAAAAACAGACAATACCAAGTATAGTAAAGATGTAGAGAAAGAGTAATGCTATTGTGCTGCTGGAAGAGTTAACTGATACACATTTTGTAAATTGGTAGCAACTAATAAGGTTAAAAACATATGAATACCTTGGCTGGGTGCTGGTTATGCAAGAACATTTGATTTTTGTACTTTTCTGAATATATGCTATGCTTTTAAAAGCTTAATAATAAAAACAAATGGTAGGTCTCATGTCCCCAGCTGGAAGTTTTTTTAAGGTTGAAGTTTAAAGTGTTTTTATAATTCCAAATTAATTACCTTGTAGAGGATTTGCATAGGTTTGGTGAGTTCCACATTTCTAAGGAAAGGTGCTAAATACTTGAATAAATCAATCAGTAGCTGTGCATACATAGGCCATCCCTGAAAGAAATGAAGGAGTCATAATTATATGCAGCTGCTGTCTTGCCACCAAAAAAGACGTCCATGCAGCTACACTGTGACTTGATTACTATCTTCCTCATACTAAATATAACTAGAGAATATTGACATAAATACCTCTCTTAAAAGACTGATTGGCATTAAAAGGGAGTAAGCATAATTATGGAAATAGAGGGAAATGATATCTGAAACAAACTGGTTCCATAAATTCCAGGACATATAGGTCCTTGTGACTGTAGCAAAATTTAAAGAGGAGGGAACCTTGAGAAAATGTAAGACAGAACACAAAACACCTAGCCAACTAATAAACTGAGAACTGGAGGTCTGTTTTCTTAATCCCTGTTTTAATTAAGTCCTCATCTTAACCATTTCATTTCCCACTCCCAACTCCTGGCAAATGACCCTATCTGGTTTATAACATGAATCCTCTATATTCAGGCCCAATGTGGTTCACTACAACCCCAAATTATACCAGTTAGAGTCATTCTTGGTTCATTTTATTCAGTATGTTGTGCTGCTTCTATTGGAATGCATTTCTCCATCAAAGAAAACCTGCCATTTAAGGATTATCTAGCTCACTGTCTTTTTGCCAAGCATATTAGTACTCATATTTACTTCTGTCTAATTGCAAGATAAGAAAGTTTTAATGTTAACTGTATTTATTACTGATTACACTAAAAATGCTTTACTATAACTTCATTCAAATTCAAACACAGTACACCAGTGGTCCTCAACCATTGAGTATGAGAGCCTTTAGCATTTAGAATGAGAACCTGTAATATTAGCAGGCTCTAGAGTGTCATCTATGTAAGTGCTCTAAAGTTGCAACTTAAAAAAGAAAAAAAGTCCTTAACACTGGCAAAGGTGACCCACAACAAACAGACAAGCAACACCCTAATCACTGAGGATTGTCTTTCAGGCAGAGGCAGTCAAGTATCTGTTAAGTACTCTCCACAACTTGACTCCACATTAAATAGAATTATTCCCAACTATGCCTGGAAGAAGTACAATCACTACTAAATGACTAAGAGTGCTAATAAGCCCCAGGTAGTTACAGTCTTCATCTGTAGAAGATTAACTGCAGCCACACCTTCTGCTGTGGCGTATGTGCCAGCATTCTTGCAATAAATATTCTATGGGAGATCAGTTCAAGCCAGGCATACACAAAGCCAGGAGCTTTGGTAGGCCTCAAGATGTGGAATGTATTGCTGAAAGAAAAAAACCTTCGTCAAGAGCATTGTCCAACATAAATACAGTGAACAACAGATAAATATAAACAGACAACAGGAAAGCTGTATTGTGAATCAACAGGCCTCAAATCTATAAACGGAGTTCTACATCTCAAATTTTACTGCACTAAAACATCAATTCCTAACAGGACATCTCTATTAAATTTAACAATACTCACCAGAAAGCTGTAAGTGTCTGGAAATTAATGGTTTCCAATACATGTTCAGGTGCATTGAGTTCCAAGAGCAGCATGATAAAAATTCGATGGTAGGGAAGCTGCTGAAATTCACTTTGCCGAACATCATGATCCTGCAGGAGAACTCCCACTACTATACCAAGAACCTACAGAACACACAGATTACAGTTTGTAAATCCTGAACATAATTCGCCTGCCACTTTCTACTCATGCTTTTTCAACCTTGCCTTCTTAAGGCCCCCATTTAAAAAAAGGATATATACCATCTGAATGCAAAAATTTATGTTGGCAGCCAACGGGGAGGCTATACACTGGTTTGATGTAACCTGAAGAGTTTTTGTTTTTTCTTTGACTTTTAATACCCTTGGACCAGAAATGTAAGCTTTCCACAAATGCCCACCGTGTTTCTAAAAGCTCTATAAATCAGCATGGTGTATCATTTTATCATGTTTAAACATCTAACAACCTAATTTTTCTGGTCTGACAAAACTGACAAGGGACAAATGGTGTGTACATCTCTTGGCATTTAGTAGATGGGGGCCAAGGACGCTATTAAAGCTGCAGAAATGTCTCAAAGAACTGTCCTGCACTCCACTTAATTTTCCCACTGAACAGTGACAGATGTTATAACTCATGTAATTACCCAATACCAAACTACAAGTTCATTTTTGTACCATTTTAATATTCAAATTTCCAGTAAGTCCACTGTATAAATCAAAAGAAAACTGTACTTTGCTCTTTTTTAGAAAATCAAGAGAACAATTACAATGTCATTCATGGTTATTTGAGCTGACAGTCTATCTGTTACCAGTGGACATGTCAAGCCAGTTCATTCAGTGATTCTGTGTATTGGCGAAAGCTCATACTACCTAAGCATCTCATGTTGTTATTAAGAAACATTAACACACTGAAATGTCCCCCACCCCTGGGGGTGGGGCGTGTCTTTTAGTTAGGGCACCACACTCTTCTTCTAAAATCCAGTGGTTATGTTTACATAATATTTATGAATTTTATTTCAGAACATAAAAGGGGATGTTAAAAATGTTTTAGGAAAGGGGTTGGGCCATGTACTGTTGAGGATCACTGATGCAGACTTCAAGTGCACCAAGACTAAGGCAAGAAAAAATTTCTGACCTTGTTCAGCAGATTAATCTTTGTGACAGTATTGGTGGCCTCCCCTGAGTGTTTCACTAGCAGTGCAATGAGTCGGACAAAGGCATCCAGGTTGTGATAGCACTTGGCACGGATCATGGTAGGATTAGCAGCAGGATTGTGCTGCTGCTCTGCCTGAGCACGGTAACTGATTTCAACACACATTTCAGTACACAGACGAAAGAACCTTGTTATGAGGTCATCAGTCTTCAGGATTCCTTGTTGGTGCATCTACCAAGGGAACAAAAATATATAAAGATACAATGAGATAATAAGAATGAATAAACTTTTAATTTTCACATTAAGAAGTATTCCATTCATTCCTACTGTCACATTTCTAATTCATACTTTGCAAAAAAAGGTATAATGAAAATGACTCCTCCATTAAGGACCCATGACAATTCCTCCAGCTTTAAGTTTAATGTGCAACAGAAAATATGGAGATTGAGAAAGCGGTAACATGGCAATTCTGAACAGCAGTCCACAGCCAAATATTTTGGAAAGTTAACTATGCAAATTAAACCTCCTTTTCATAACCACTAATTAATTAAGACATTCTGGCCAATCTGTGTTTCTCCCACGGAGGAGATTAAATTACACATATTTTACTTTCTCACCCAACTTAAGATAATTTTTTCCAACTGACTAACCAGTAACAAAGTTTTTGAAACTCAACTAGCTGTACCAGGAAAATCAGTTTGTGTAAGTAGATAAAAAATAAAAATACACATATATCACACCAGCTATTTAAATGTAAATTAAGTAATTTGATGTAAATTGGGTTAACATAAAGGGCAAGTTTATTTAATAGAAAGGACAAAGTAGAAATTTTATGACATGATCTGAAAGTAAAGCAGAATAGCGAAGTTATTTAGCTGGTACAAAAGATGACAACAAGTGTTAAGACTACAGAGGGAGAAGATAAGTGGTTACTAAACAAAGAAGCCAAGCCCAAAATGAAAACTTAACTGGTATCTTGGAAAGTTTAAAACAATTTAACTGTCCCCTTCAGTAAGCAATATAACAGCTGAATTAACAATGTGCCCTAGCCAAGACAGAATGCCAGCAAAGGGAAATTTGTACACTGAAATCTGAAGAACTTACTGGAGAGAGGAAATGAGGACAGATTGCTATGATCAAGAGGAAGTAAGTACAAGGAGGAAGAGAAATCTCAAAAGGATGCAAGAGAGACAGGAAAAGTATAATACATTATCTTTTTTAAACCAAGAAAAGAAATGACAGCAAATAAGCCGGCAGGAAGAGCTGAGACAGGTGCCACATCCATACCCATGAAATACTGGTAATCATAAAAACCAGTTGATTTAAAATTCTTCCAAAGTTATGTTACAACTACTAAAATTCCAATCAGCTCTTCCACATTCAATTGTCATTTTAAACCTTCTAATTTGTAATCCTTCTTTGGTGACACACCTAAGCTTTGGTCTCAGATTGAAGAGATATAATGATCAATCTGCAGAAATAAGCAAGTCCCTGAACAAGCATTACTACAATCCTACTAAAGGAATTCTAAGGGTTAAGTACCACTCTTGCCAGTGAAGTAATACTAGGACACCCTGACAACTGGCTCTGAACCCTCACAATAGCTGAAAGCAGCCAGTGATGATCAAAAATGAAATGCTGAATGGCTCTCTTCCTGTTCCAAAAATATTTCCTCCAAACCTACTTTTAGATAAAAACTTGTTTCCCAACACTTTAACTTGAAGTCCAGTTTAAATGAAACTGAATAAAAATAAATACTGGAAACTATTTCCCAAAAGAACATGTTTAATCAGTTTTAGGTAGAGAAGCTCTACCACTTAAATATTTAAATTTGTTTTATACTTTATAAAGATGGGGTATTATGAGAATTTTACTCATTAGCCCATAATCCCATTACTGTGATTATCAAACTAGTGAAATTACTATATGCTTCTGGCAATTTCATTATTCACTATTTGACTCATTTTACTTTGTAACTAATACAATTGAAATGGGATAAACACAACTAAAGGAGACATTTTAGCTATGTTGAATTTATTGCTTAGTGACCACTGATTAGAAAACAAATAGGCTATATCAATTTAAAAGAGCAATGATGATGGGACTTTTTTTGAGTTACATGAGTATGGAGGCAACTGTTTGACCACAGGTACATAATACTGAGGTTTAATAAGGGAGGCATCACACCCTACTTATGTTGAATAAAAAGCACCTTTCTTTCCAAAAGCTCTACCTGTCCAACAAACGCAGAGAAAGCTTTGGTACTGTCACGGCCAGCTGCAGCTGAATGGTAGAGGTTCACCCATTCCCTCAGAAGATACTCTGCCTTCTCCCTCAGGCCTGGAGGATCATCGTACTCAGAGGCTTGAGAGATCCCAGAATGCATCATAAAGTTGGGGCCTCCATGAGCACGATCAATCATTGCTTCATAGTTGGATCGCACTACTTCCATCAGCTGGGGCAATCTAGTACAATAAATCCAGAGTCAAAATAGTCTACTCATGGTTGTGATTTCACATTCATACAGTTGGACAATTTGCTTATTTAACAGAAACCACAAGAGTGATGATCACTTCACTATTTCCATCTTTGAACAAAATTATCCTTGACCTCTTTATATCTGTTTACTCATGAGGACAAAATATGCAAATGACTGGACTCAGTTAAGCCACACCTAGACCAAAAAACGGTCCCTGCTGAAATGATGCTGAGTTCATAGTCAACAAATATTCACTGTATGCCTACTATGTGCCATGCTTTATGTTCCTAAATTCTCGACAGTTGAGAAAGTTCAATTTTATGTAAGAAATGGGCTTAGGTAAGGTAATTCAACTTGCCTGAAATCAATGAGATTTTACAGTAGCAGAGCCAAGGATTTAAACACAGAACTCTTAACACCAAGTCTAGAACTGTAGGGTACTGCTCTACACCAACAGTTGGCAGTTAAAGCTTCAGGAACAATGTTAGGCCTTACTAAAGCTTCCCACATATTGTAGGTAAAGCAGTTATAACAGGTAATGTTAGTAAGTCTGCACATTCATTTCTAAAGCTTTTTCCAAAGACTACCAAATACACAAGGATCCCAAAGTATTTCATTCTCACCCTTCTGGAGCATTGCCTCTGGAATGAGCATTAATCCTCATGAGGGTTTCAATGGTGTGGAACAGATCTGCCTCAGTAACATGAGCAACACTCCTTTCATCCACCAGCAAGATTTTTACCAACTGCATAGCAAATGCCACTGCCATGTAGTTTAAACCATTCTCCATTGACTGGCAACAGACAAAGCACAATGTAAGAAACACAACAGAAAAAACACACTTCCCAACAGAATCCCTTTTCCTATTTAAGTAAATTCCTTCCATACCTGAGCTAGGTGAAGATCATACTGCTGCATATTAACCAAATGATTACGAATTAGCAGTTCCACTGCCTCCACATTATATTTATATTCATCCCGACATTCAATTAGGCACCTAGAAAAAGTCAGTATTTCTTTACTCATATAGATTTAATCATACTCTATCAGGTAAAAATAAAGAGCTCATTTAAATCCATGGTCATCTGTTTCAAATTAAGGATGCCTGGAGAACCAAGTGCAAATCAGTACACAGGATTCAAAACAGTCAGTAATGAGGCAGAAAAGACAGGCTGGTGTTAAAGCTCAAGCTTTGTTCTCAAAGCCTAGAAAATAAAGCATTCCATTTAAGACATTAAAACATTTATATATAAACACCACTGCTATGAAGTCACTGAAACCTTTTAAACCAAGGATCTAAAATTTATTCTCCAAAGCAAGGTATTAGTTTTCTTTATCCATCATAAGCACTGAAACCTTTTAAACCAAGGATCTAAAATTTATTCTCCAAAGCAAGGTATTAGTTTTCTTTATCCATCATAAGCACCAGATGGAAAAAGGCCAACCATTCAACAATTCTCACTATGTAGAATTAGAAACTTCAAATGTCCCATTTACAATCTAGAAAAAAAGGGAAACCTTTAGACATATAAACAAGGCCATATATGTCAGAAGGCTGCCCAGTAAATATTACTCTTCTAAGATGGCTACTGACCTTGTGATCTGTTTGTTACACCATGGAGACCCATAAGCCCGGCCATCTTGAAGAGCTTTCAAGACCAAGAGGTGGCATTCCCTGTAGCGCAGCAGGAGGTCAGCATCAGCACCACTTGTGGCATCTAGTAAGCCTTCCACAGCCTGTGGAAGAAGTGTTCACAACCATGGAAAATACAGTACTCCAACTATCAAAGCTAAAAAACAAACCTTATTGCCAACTACAACATACCTTCTAAAGCCTCAAATTACTCTCCACTCACCAAAATCCCTTTCACTTACACACACCAAGTTCTTACGTAATGCTTACTCTATGTTCTTCAGTCACAGAGGGCCTCCCTGTCTCTAAACAGTCAAAATGTAATGCTCTCCATCTACCCTACCCCATTATCCAAGTACTTGGATCAAACTGTCCCTCAAAATCTAAAGAGCTGTCTTTAAAATTTCTTAAATAATCATATTTCCAAACAATTTTACCTTAATGGGGGAAAAAAAATCTTTCACTCTACCATCTGTAACTATCATGACTGCAATTCTACTCTAGAGAAAGTTACCTACTCAGAACAGAACTTGCCTCATCTTAATTTTAAAATCTTTAGCATAACTTAAGTAGATGATAGTGCAGGTCACTAGATGTTTATAAGCCTCATTTTGTCTAAAAAGTAACAGTTTAATAACTAACCTTCTGGAGCAATCCAAGAGCAGCTATGGCATCCCGAGAGTTTCGAGATAATACCACAACCTCCAAAAGACTTCTAAGAGCCTGAGCTTGAGGATTCATGGCCAAAGTTGGTGGGATAGCATGTAGGTGCTGTTCCAGTTCTGTAATGCACTTATCATAAATCTGAGCTACATCATCAGTTGCCCAAGCTTGCTGTTTTAAAAACAGAAACAAGCAAAACAGAGATAAGCAAAAATTTAAACTGTTTCCCACTGGTGCATGTAGCAATTGAAAAATCTATTAGTATGTTTAGTCCTCTTATTTCTTTTCATCAAAACATGAAAGGGCTCTTCCCTTCCTCTTCCTGAACTACTCAGTCTTAATGCCATTAGTGGAGCAGTGTAAGGCAGGCATGTGGGCGGGTTATGTCATTTGACAGTGGAAAGCCTGGCAACACCAACATAATCCAGTGATAAAAGAGAGCATAATAAATAATGGGATAGACTGAGGACAGCACCACTTGTGGCATCTAATAATCTCTCTGCAGCCTACAAAAGTAAGTAATTCAAACCATGAATAATATAGTACTCAGTCCAATTGCCAAGGTCTTAGAGAAGAGAGTAACACAGCATCTGATAGTCCTATCAAAGACACACTACCTTCAATCTATTCACGAGAACATATTGGACATACCCAACTCAGGCAATTCTAGATAGTAACTGGCCTATGAGGTGTGAAAGTGTCATGATCATGAAATAAAGAAAAACTGTACCTGACTGACCTGAGGGAAATTTTTTAAATATGGTAAATAAATGTGTACCTCTGAAGTAGGTTTTTTACTACAAAATGGTAAGACCGGGACACTTGGAAAAATCTGAATGAGGTCTAAGGATTAAAACGTATTAACTGATCAGTGTTAACTTCCTGATTTCAGTAGTTGTACCATGGTCGCAAGAACATCTTTGTAGGAAACACAAGATCAAAGGATTCAAGAGTGACTGTTCAAATGGTTCAGAGGGTAAGTGTTTCCCCTTCATTTTCAACTTTACTGTAAATAATTGTTTCAAATTTTTAGAAAATATTTTTACAAAACACAGAAGCCATAAGGTCACCATGTAAATTCCTCTAAATAGGACAAAAATGAAAGTCAAAATAAACCTAATGGATTTAAAGAAGTATTTCTCTGTATGCCATACTGATATGATAAAAAGAATATGTATGTATACTCAATAACTGTGGGTAATTTTTTTCCTGTAACTTAAGCATCCAGGAACAAAGTGAAAGATTAACTGACAGTAATGTAAAGCAACTGAATGTTCAAGGCAAGTATTTACCTTCATGGGCTGAGCTAAAAATCCTGTGGGCTGACTTAAATCATTTGTAGGTAGGAAGCCAGGCACATTGCGTGCAAACTCTTCATAAACAGCAAGCTGTTTTGGGTCCACACCACCAACCTTAGAAGAAGAAAACCTATTTTTTACAGAATCCTCTTCACAAAGGAAATTTTTCTGTAAGTTTGCATGGAAGTAAGCACAGAAGTTGTGAGAAGAGACATAGGAGTCATCACAACATGTAACAGCATGATCAAGAATGCAGCCACACACACACACACACACACACACATATTTCAGTGTTTCCCATTTTTCCTGAATGTATCCTGTTAGTCACTCTCACATATAAATTCATTAAGAGTTTACACCCCCACTGGAAAATGCCTCAAATAGGACCATGCCAGTGCAATTCTCCAATGGAGCTGGCAAAAATGATCAGGTTTCTTTTTCACCATCTCACCAATAAGTAACTAGTAATAAAAAATACATGTACCAGAAGAGAAGACCAAGTTGGGAAACAAAAACTAACAGGCACATGAATTCTTCACAGTAGCACTTCAACAATTACAGGCTGGGAGGCAGGAACATCTAAGGCCGCCTCCATAGGTAGCCTTTAAGTGAAATGCTACTGAGATGGGATACTTTCTTGGAAACAACATTTAATCCCACTGGCCTGGTCTTGGTGAGGAGTTTAAGCAACAAGGAGAGAGAGAAAATAAATATGGGGCAGGGACAGAGCCCCCAATTCTCACTTTCAGTCTGATTTGCTCTGGCATCCGCTCAGCTTGGTATGTTAACACAACAGGATCACAGTACCTGCGCCCTTCTTGCCTAGCATGTTTTCTCAGCTCAAATTCCTGCAAATAAAAAAAGTCACTGAGGTTCTTGTTATGAGGCACTTTCTTAAACAGAAACAAAATTTTCTTTAAAAAGCAAATGCTAAACACTTACAGTTGCTAATCTCTTATCCATTTCAGGGCCTGCTTTTTCTACTGCAGTCTTCTGAATAAAACAGCAAGCTAATTCACAATTGTCCTGAGCTAACTGAGCAGCTGCCTGATCCATCATTTCCCTTTGTTGTGGGGATGCAGTCTAATGGGGAGCAGAGAGACAGAAAAAAAAGATGTAACATTTTCCATGGATAGGCGAGACAGGTAGACAAGGATAATAGGAAATACAGCACTTAGACAAATGAACTTTTTTAAGTTTTTACTATACTTATGACTCTAAATTAGCTGTGGCCATGAAATATTCATTTAGAAGATGAAAATAACACTCATTCAAAACATCTTACCAAATTGCTGTGAAGATGGTGAATAATATGAAAACTGTAAAGCAGTGAACAAAGCATTATTAACCATGACATCTGAGACCCAAAATCAGTAACTGAGTTTTTTTAAGAAAGAGTGTGTGCTGTGTATGTACATACATAGTCACTTTAAATTGTTTTGTACTATCCTACTCCAAGTGTTCTAAATTATTCACTTTAAATTGTTTTGTACTATCCTACTCCAAGTGTTCTAAATTATTCATGGTAAACAGAATCAAGATTGTTAACTGATGCATTTTTTTTAATCCCTCATTTCTTTAAACCAAAAAATATTTGGGTGTCTCCACTAAACACTAATGAGGATACAACAGTGTGCAAAAACAGATGTGATACCTCACCACACAGAATTTACAATCTAAGAGGAAGGAAGACATCAAACAAATACGACTAAAAATAAGTAGAAATGCAAACATGAAAATACTCAGACAAGCAGTAATGAGTTTTATATTATACCATGGAACTAGTCAACTTACACGAAGGGCTGAGGCAAAACTGTTTTTCAGGTTAGTAGATATGCTCATGAGCAAAGGTTCCCTGCAAGTAATCATAGCCATTCCAGCTGTCAAGTTACGCATCATGTGATGAGCTGCTATTCGCATTCGAGATTCCTCAGAATCCAGGGCAAAATCCTTTCTGACTATTTGCTCACAAGTAGTCATAGCAATCTTGATCGATCGATCCACCACAGGATGGACCAGCTCCTGGACAGCCCGTTCAATTGCTTGGCGCACACACTGCTTCAACTGCGGATGGGCCTGAAACAACGGAATCTAGGTGGGGAAAACAAATTCCAATCAACGGCTTGTTTAAATAAGACAACCCAAGTTCTATCAGTAGTCACACCCATGATGTTGGAAATTATTTCCAAAACCAACTTCCACTTTAACCAATGAAAAGCTAAAGGAACAGAAGATGGGCTATGAAGAATGAGTGGTAGTCAGTATACCCTGTGATACTAATAATATGTGGTTGATTTTTTTTTTTAAGTTTAAGGGTAAATTATTCATTATAAGACTACCTACTTAAAGACACAACTACCTGGTTAGTTAGAATTTGTGGCTCAAGCACATCAAAGTACATCTTTACTAGCTTGGGGAAATACAAAGATAATCAAGTATACAGAGAAAAGGCTTTCTATAAAAACAATTATTGCTACAAATATTTCCTCAGAATATTGAGCATTTTACATTACTGTACATTGAGGCCTTCTGCATCACCAGAAAGACTGTTTTCAATTTTTTATCTTTGGTATCAACTATGCCTTAATACTACTCTCGGTCTCTTTAACTTGTTGAATTTCTTGCTAAGAAATTTTTAACACATTCACGATGAACACATAAAAGTATTTTGATTACTGGGAGTACTATAAAGGCAAATCACAATTTCTAAATCTAGGTTTTGTGTTTTTTCTTTCCAAAAGACTGATTACCACATGTTTATGTAAAAAAAAAAAAATTCACTAGGTTAAAAAGCTTTCAAAGCCATAAATGTATTAATGTTACTCCTGTATTCATGAACATTTTCAGTTTCTAAAAAGGAAAAAGACCATGAAAACTCCAAGAATCTGATTCTGAACTAAGTAAGAGATAAGCAGAATAAAAGATTGAAGATAATCAATCATCACTCTGAATATACACAGTAAAATGTTACCTCTGTAACTGCAGGAAAAAGGATTCATGGGAAGTTTATTTTATACTGATTTTAGAGCAGACTGCCTCCCAAAACTGGCCACAGAAATGTAACTAAAAGTACTGAGTCCCACTTATACACATAGACATAACTTCAGAGTTGAAAATACTCCCAGCTATATTATATTTGCTCCCTGAACAAAAGCGTACAACCTAGAAATCCAGAAGGAAGACAGGAGTTGGGGAAGGGAGGCTGCCCAGTTTATACCACACCACAAAGTAGGAATCGGGGGCAGGGGGCCAATGCTGGGTTACTTACTGTTGGGTTTAAAGTAATGTGTGGTGCCAGGCCTGCAAGGGAGTAGACATTGATGTCGTGGTAGCTGTATTGTGGCTGTGGTGGAACTGTGGCTGTACAGGTGGTACTGGTAGCTGGTGTTGTTGAAGTTGCTAAATGGAAAGAAAGAAAGCAAGAGCTAATAAAAAGAGCACAGTTCTTGACTTTAAAGTTAGCACAGTGATCAAATGGTCTTTTTCTAATTAAACTAACTGGATCAGTCAGTGGTCCGGTGGGGGTGGGGGTGGCACAGGTCACATCTTTCCTGCCCTTCTGAATATCCATGAGGGAAATTTTGTTATTTTTAACAGAGATCTGAACAAAGCATATAAAACTGTGTCAGTGACAATGCCCCCACAAAAAGGAAATCAACTGAAAGGTCATGCCACATTAGCAGGCCCAAGCCTTGCTGGATTAATCTATCCTACAGATACCTACTTTCAACCCACACTGGTTCCCTGGTTTCACCTGAGGATTCTTAGCTACTGAGGGCTGAGAGAGAATGAAAAGCTGGTTTATTCTAACCACATCTCCCAATTGTTCATCCAATACCTCTACTGCCCCACACTTCCAATCCTCTTGATCCAACAAAATTATCCACTCCCCTGGCAGGCTGAGCTGGTCTAGCCATCCCCAGATTTAAGGATAACACAGGCCACCGTGCCATGCAATTCTTTCAGAGACCTCAAACAAAGTAAAAGATAACCCAACTTAGTTGGGATATGAGAACACTGGGTTAAAGATATTTAGTTAAGAATACCCTATTAATTACCTGGAAGGATTGTAATATGGTAAGACCATAATGCCTACACATTACTAACTTTTCCTTAATAATCACCAAAATTACAGCATCACATTTATGCGGGATAAGTATAATTCGCTATATGCATGGCAATGTATCATTTAAGAGAACATTCTGTTAAGTAGAGGGTTAATCATCACACTTACTTGTGGCTGTGATGGGAGGGAGTTCTTCCGGCTGCTTAACATCTTTCTTTGGAGCAGAGAGTTGCTCATCTAAGTTCTTTAGGCGATCTTTATCCTTTAAGAGGTTTCCAGGTTTTAGCTCATTGATGTCTAATGCAAGGTTCTTGCAGAGGACCTCAATCTCAAACTTCAAGTTTAACTGCATAATTCCAATATTTAATTAGAATTTTAGACAAAAATTTAGCTTTATTCCTAATTCACACTATTCTCACCCAACTGTTACAGCTATTCCCCAAAGTACTCTACCTTTTCTGTAACTTTTAATAATGTGAAGGCAGATAATGTTCCAAAGGAACAAAGCAGCAACAAATTTACCTTTAAATCATGTTCCTGATGTAGCTCTGCTAATACATTCATAATTGCCATTGTCCAGGGATTGGGTGGCCTAAAAATCTAAAGAAAAGCTATTATGTTTGAGCTGGCCCCAAAATCACTCTTAATTTGTATTGTTTAACATAGTTAACAAAACCCCTACCCATCTGGTCTAAATCTTATTTCAGAAAAATACCAAAATCCAAAGATACACAATAATAATATCAGTCCTACAATTCTACTAAGCTTCTCACATTGCAAATTCAAGAAATTTCCCTTCTTTGAGGAAGACTGAACTAGCTCTATGTTCTTAAGAACTAAGGTTAAAATCTCTTGATCTTGTGCTGAAACATATTCTTACAAATTAGCCATCAATAAAAATTTTAAATCTACTCACCACACTACGAATGCTAGACTCTAAGACTTTGGCAACAAAGGGCACTACATAGAGCAACTCTTGCTGTCCTTTAACATAAGCCTCTAGCAGCAAAGATTTTACATCCAAGTCCTAGAATAAGAAGAATATTTTTAAAAGCTTGGAATATACTTCAAAACCCCCAAATTCATCCCCAAAATAGGAATCAATATACTTTCTGACCCTGCCTAATGAAAAAGAAGGGGTGACCATCATACCTTACTGGCTTTTGTTTATCCCACTAAACGCCAGGAGACCCCACTAAACGCCATGAGCATACAAACAATTAGGGATTCAAACAGGGGGCAGACTCTTACACCCAATAATCATTAAAATAACCCCAAATAAAGTCAAGACATTTAGACATAATATGATGTATTAATATTCTCAAGTTTTACATGAACCTTTAGCTGGAACTCACAGTGTGTAAAATGGGTTTATTTTTAGCTAGTGTGATCATTCCTAGCCAATGTCCCAAGTTCTTCAGCAAAGAACGATCTGAGAAATTGGCTGCAGCTTTATCAGAGGTCAGGAGCACCTGAAATAGTACAGGATGAAGAAAGGTATGAAAATGAACTTACGAGAAAAATATCTCAACTAGATGTTTGAAGATTCCATTTTACTCTGTATAAAAAACAAGCCATCTATTCTGAGAACATGCCCCCCCAAAAGTAAATCTACTTACTTTCTTAGCAATGTTTTGCTGTATTCAGTGACATTTTTACCTTTACATGTCTTTACATTTTGTATTTCTTTTTTTTAAACAGGCATGATACAAATACATCATTCAAAATACAAAGTATACAAGGTTTAAAGTATCATGCACGGTCCCAGGAAAAAGTAGTTTACAAGTACTTAAAACTCTGAAAGTTTTAGCTAGTTTTGAAGGAGACCCCCAACAGCAAATATACTCTGAAGAGCTAAATTCAATTCAACAGTTATAGCCATAATTCTTAGTCCTTCAAGTTGTTAGGCATATGAGGAATGAGACCAAGATTGCAATATCTACTACAATCTTTAGCATTGTCCAAGATCACCAGAACTCTCTGGAGACAACTAAAATAACTTTCTGAAACACACATTTCTATTTTTTTTTAAATTTTTTATTAAGGTATTATTGATATACACTCTTTTGAAGGTTTCACATGAAAAAAACAATGTGGTTACTACATTTACCCATATTATCAAGTTCCCACCCATACCCCAATGTAGTCACTGCCCATCAGTGTAGTAAGATGCCACAGATTCACTATTTGCATTCTCTGTGCTACACTGAAACACACATTTCTTTTCTGATTTCTAGAAAACTAACCAGCTCATTAATTCTCCAGATCTTACTTTCCCAAGGAAGACAGAACCATCATGAGTGTTCTGGGCACACACATCCATCTACCTACTCATGCTTAACTCTTAATTTACGACTCTTAAGTTTACATTTATTATTTATATCTTTGTTTAAAAGAAAGGATCCTGAAATTTTGTTCCTGAGTATATCAGGACTTTCATATATTCCAAACATTCTTGCTATGAAATAAAGGCTGAATATAGCTATGTTCCTTAACTCCATATGGCAACAGCAGAATGGCACAAAGTCGGCTGTGCAAAACAGAGAGCCAGGAATTCTTTTGCACTACAGCGTAACCAAGAATGAGGAAAATTCCCATCCACAGGTTTAAATATAGTGCTGGTTCTGAAGACAATGTCCCAGGTAATTCAGCAAAGAATGAATACAGTTGCATGCTGGTTCACACACTTTTCTTAAAGACTTATTCCTAAGAATTAAAACACTTGAATTCTACGGAACAACCATTAGCTCATTAGGAAGAGTTTGACCTCAAAATCAACTGATGGGAATCCTAAGCCACAGCAATTCACAAATACGTTTGGAGTAGAGAGAGGTCTGGCACTGAAGATGACAAATGAAAACACTCACTGCAGCAATGTTTTTGTAATACTAAAAGTTACTAACAACTGAAGTATCCATGGGCAATATACATATATACAATGGATTTCTGTAAGACCATTTTAAAAACAGTAATAACAGCTAAGAGATTACTGCAAATAATATGTGGAAGGGGAAAAAAACAAATTAAAAACATGCACAGAAAGTGAAGATGGAATGATGAAAACAAATTCAGAACAGTAGTTACTTTCAAAGTAAACAGTATGTGGAGTATGCCTGTAAGACTAAATTCTTCATGAAATTTAGTTATGTATTTGAAAGAGACCCTGCAGCAATTTTAGTATTTATTAGAGGCAATATATAGGGAAAAATAGCAACACCCCCCAAATTTTCTATCTGTACAATCAATCCAGTATTCTCAACTTCAAAACAGTGATGAAAAGAAATACAATTCAATCTTACTTTGATGTTTCTATAGGTCTCATTCAGAACCATCTTATTGAATTCAGGATTCTTCAGAGTGTCAAGGAAGTTTGAATATAGGCTGTGAAAGTTTGGCTCAATACTGACTCTCTTCATAACCAGATATTGTGAAACCCAAGGCATAAATTCTTCCTTCACAGTTTCTTTTAGTTCTTCAACCTAGACAAACCAATGACACAGGAATTACACAATTAGAACATGATAAAATATGGTTTTGTGTTTGTTTTGGTGAACAATACTATCATAGATGGCTACTTGCAAAATGAGATACTGAAGTACAATGTTAACACCTCTCCCCTGTATAAGACAGATGCTGTTCAGACAGTATATTCAATTCCATGTTAGTACAGAGATGATTGTCTCTCAAACTGCTGGTGATTAGGACTAAAACATCTATATCATCACTTTTGGCTTTAAATCATAAATGTGGTCCCTCACTCCCATCTTACTAGACTTTCCATTTGACCAAAAGAACTGAAGTTACTAATAATGTACAACCTGCCATAAACAGACCTAATACCAGAGATTGTTTTCTACATTCCAATCTCCAGGAATCATCTGCAAACTTTGAAATTTCCCTTTCAAAAAGATGCTAAAGGCTTTAAGTTTCTCCCCAATTATGATAGGACTATGAAAGATTATACTTGCATTACATCTCAAAACCCCTTGTTTAGGCTATTCTTACTGGCTAAAACAAGCAATTCCAAGTATTAGCATATAATCTTGAAAGGCATTTCTAATGCTTTTACAAGGTCTACCTCAGTTATGAGGCACCTAATAAATGCTCTGAATAGTCTGAGGGAGGACATGAGTTGTAACAAAGTACAAATGGAACCTTCCATCATCATGAGATCATATTTATTTCAAAAAGCCTGTAACTAACTGGAAAACAATACACTTAAAACTAGTACTATTTGATGTCTACAAAAACCACCACCACTAGCTGTATACCCACATTCCCTTCATTCAGATTCTATTACCTCTACCTTTAAAGTTAAGTACTCAAAAGGAAGCAGAATGCCAAGTACCAGTCCCCTAACCCATGAGGGTAAGCGTAGAGAGTACTGTGGTGACATACAAACTTTTCTATCATGCTCACCTTTTGTGTCATATTTGACTGTGAGAGATTGTTGAAGATAAAAGCAATTTTCTCTTGAATATTTTCTGGGGGTTCTACAATTCTCTCTGTTTGATCTGTAGCCACAAGTAACGTATCTATATTTGTAGTATTAATAGAAGGCTAAAGGAATGAAAGTACATAAAATATATTAAAATGCATGCCTGACAAATCCCAGGAATAAAATGTATACAGATTCCTTTAGTATAAAATTTACACATGGTGTACAACTGTGCACTCAAAGTGCTGGCAAGAATATGTACTAAACTATTAATATTGGCTGTGTCTGGGAAATTTACAAAGGGAAGATAAAAAGGGAAGAATGATGGTCTTTATATCATTTTTAGTGGGCATGTGTTGTTCACAGTAAAATTAAATACATGCTCAGTATTGGACACATTAACAATATAACACCATATACTAGAGAAAAGGAAAAAGATAGACCTACTTACTGGCACATCTTTCTTAAAGCTGACTCCGGTTGGCCTGGTGACTGTAACTGTTTTAGCAACAGTGGTGGTTGTTGAGGTGGTTACCATAGTGCTAACTTGACCAGCAAGGGGAGCTTTTGCTGGAACTTGGGCCTGAGCCTGGGCCTGAGCCAGTGCAATACTTCCAGGGGTTGTGATAGAGCCCTGCATTTTCACAGGAGGGTCTCTAGATTGCTGTCCATACTCGATATACTATAGGGGTAAGGAGAGGGAAACATTTAAAAATAACAGCTCTCAACAGAAATTGAAATTTTTGAATTATGTTACCTTCACTTTCAAAAGGGAAGAAATCATTTCTGAGGACTCTCTGGTTCATCTCTATTCCTTACTCCTTACATCCTGGCCCATATTCCCACATACATAAAACATAAGTGGACACCACAGACTCATCAGGAAGTAAAATGTAAGTATGTTCTTAAAATATTTATGAGAAATCTAGCAAAACAGCTTTCAAAAAAGCAGCCACAAACACCTGCATCTATCATTTCTTTAAATCCCCAAATACAAATAAACTTACAATTTATAAAGCTATATAGTAACCACTCTTTTTTTTTTTTATTGGATGCTACAAAACACTGCAATGGATTTCTCAGCAATGCTATCACTGTAAGACAAGAAGAGACTGTATACAACCAAGCCAACTGGACGGTATAATATAGAGCAGGTATATTGTTTTTTCCTTTGTTTCACAGACCAATAAACCTCCAACCCAGACAAAAATTAAAAGACTGAAATACAGTTCCTGATACTATTTCTAACAGTCTACATTTGTCAAAACAAAAATTACTGTAATCTACAAATATGATAACTATTCAAAAATGGACATTTTCAAGTAGAAAGGACATCTGAAGAAAAGTATAGCTCCTTAAATTGACAAAGTATATACAATGACCTCTCTCCCCGCTCTCTGATTATCTTGCTACAGTGGGTGCTGGGAACCACTGTTTTGTGTGATCCATACCACCTCTGGTGCTTTCCAGTCTTCCAAGGTCCATATTCCCTGAATTCCAAACACATTTGATTGCAGTAAAGCCTTTGATCACCTATCCTAGCTTTTCAAAACTCTGTTTTCCTATATAGTTTTCAGTACTATAGTTTCGGAAATTTTTCCCAACCTCCTCATGTGAATGAATATACTCCTGCCTCCCATTCCATGGTGTCCTAAGTTGAATCATCACAATAACCCTACCCTCCCACAAATAAAACCAACAGGATGAGGCAGAAAACACTGGATTAATTCTAACATAAAATTAAAAGTAGGTTCAAATTCTGATCCTTTTGAATCCTTAAAATACTATCTCATAAAGCCATTTACCTGCTTTATATAAAGTTAATAAAGATTAATCAACTTTCTCATTCACTGTTAGGTCTTTAACCAAAGTCAAGACAATGGTATGAATGTTGACCAATCAATCTAAAAAATCAATCAATAAAACCAGAGTTTATGAATTGCAGGAACAATCACATAAGATGGCTTAATAAGTATTTTCTCTAGGTCCATTTCCTCAGGAACTGCCTCCTCTTCAATAAGTACCTCAAAAACCCTACGCAGGTGGTAAGAAGACTGTATTAAAGAAGCATTAGTATCAGCTTTTTATGAAACATCTTTCAATCATATTGACATTTTAATCAGGAGTTAACTTTACTTATTTTTATCCAAGATTCCCACTCCAAATCCTTTTTACAATCAGGCAGGGATTCTCTTACAGCAAAGAATGTGTATACTTCAGAACACTATCAAGTTAAAAGAACTGGTAAAAAAACCTTCTATTACATCAATCAAAACCACTGCTCAGGAAAGATCGTCCAAGCATGACATTTTTTCATGATCTGTTATTAAGCTGCAAAATGAACAACAAATAATGTAAACCTATATCATGCAAATCAGTATGAAATCTTAATGCCATTCCCAGAAAACCCAAAATAAAATAAAATAAAATAAAATAAAGCCTCCAAGTACTAGACAGAGTTCAGGTGTCAAAGACACTTACCTCCTGTAAATGATGTGGAAATTGCATAAAGTGACTGATAGAAGCCAAGTGCTGACAATACTGGGGATAGTCCTTCAATCTGCCAACAAAAACATGAATGAATGAATGAATGAATTCATTTCATGTAAGAACAAAGGCAGCAAAATTAACAAAGTCTGCCTTCCAAATGCTAGCCTAGGCCATTTCCCCCATTCTACCTATGAAACACCTTATTTGATGAGAATGCCAAAGGGAAGGACACATTAGTAGGGTGGGTAATACTTATGAACTTCACTCCTTTTATTTCAGAAAACAGCATCTTGACTTTTTCTAAAGTCATAGTTTACAATTGGGTTACTATGAGCCACTAACTAAAACTGCTTTCTGGAAATAACACCAAATGTTAGTCAACAGGTGAATGGAAAAATTTGTAGTTAATCCATGTAAGGAGATACTACTCAGCAATCAAGAGAAACTACTGAAACATGCAGTATCATGAATAAATCTTGAAAGTACTATGCCACATGTAAAAAGTCAGGTTCACAAACATTTTATATGATTCTACTTAAAAAACGATCTGGGAAAACTAGAGACAAATCAGCTTAGTGATTGTTAGGGTGTTAGAGCTGGGGTGGGGTGTTAACTACAAATGAGAACAAGAGTGCTCCTTTGGGAGTGACGGACACACTCAGTATCTTGATTGAGATGGTGGTGGTTACACAGCTAAATGTCAAAATTTTTTAAGCTGTACACCTAAAATGGTGAATGTCACTGTATATAATGTATACCTCAAAAAGGCAAAAAAAACACATTTTTTATATTTATACTTTGCCTACCTTTTCTATGGTAATTTTAATGGATTCTTTTCACTTTCTTAATCTTCTGAATTTCAAACAGTGGCTACAATTAGTTAATATGCCCATAACGATGGAGCATGGCAAGAAAATGATACTTAGTTGTTTCCCCTTAGGTTAAAAAAGAGAAGTTTCATAGGACACTTATCCAACTCACCTGTTTTTAAATCTATCTAGTGCAGCAATCCCAAAATAATACATTTTGGACCCAAAAGGCTTGCGTAAGGCTTCAAGAACATATCGCAGGGCAAGACCTAGTGCCATGTAAGTGACCAGTCCTTTTTCAATTATCCCACCAAACAGGCAGGCTGTTATATGTAACTCTTTATCAGGGTACTGGGGAAAAAACCGGTATTCTTCAAACAAGTTCCTTAGCATACAGTTAAATACTTCTCGTTCCCTCTTTATGGTGGAGTCTTTAAACCTCTGTAGCATTTCTAATACCTAGAAAAAAAAACAAGACAAAGACAATACACACATAAAGAAAACTGTTAAGAGCCTTCCTCAAATATTAATAAAATCGTTAGGCAAAACGTTTAATAAATTTAGCCAGAGACAAATATTAAGGTTTCAAAAGATCAGAACACTTTGAGTTGGACTTCTAAAAACTTTAAAAAGGGCATTTAAGATTCAGCTAAACTGTAAATCACTAGATCATCCTACACACTCACCTCATCAACAGACATGGTAGGATGTGGTGGGTGATTATATATTCTCTGGAAATAGCTGTTTGCTTCATCATCTATCTCTTTACTAAAGTGCTGATTTGCCTCTGGCCACACCTGAGACAAGTCCGCTGTCAGAAACAGAAATGCAACCAGTAGAGATTAAAGTTCTTCCCCCACTTCCCCATAAAACAGAGAGCCAGAGAGACCACACAGTTTTAGTATTAAGGGAAAGAAATAAAGAAATTGAAGAAGGTACTACGTGGTCAAGTTTCAAGATTCAAGTGTTCTAGGTACATACAAAATATTTTAACAAAAGTGCCCTACAACTATATACTTCTGTTTTACTTCCTTCATTAGGACCATGAAAGTTCACTTGTTTAAATTCACAATACACTTACCCTTAATATAACCTCAATTGAGGTTTAACAAGTCTTTACTATACTTTCTAATTTAAAAAATCACATTTAACATATAAGAATTATCAACGAATGTGCATGACACACTAATATATACACAAAGCATGCTACAAAACATAACATTCAGACCACCCTTTCACACTAAAATTTTCAAGTCAGTTGGTATACTTTCAAATCCTATATAAGGAATACTTAGTACCAATGACAAGAAGGGTATTTATAAGTCAAATGATACCTATGTATTTAACAATGAGGACTCCTCTGCCCTTGAGATAATAAATTACTAAGGTGAAATTTTTTTTAACTTTTAAGTTATATCATATATAAGGCTATATACCACAAAGCTACAACCTTAGTTATTTGCTTTATAAATGGGCAACCTGAAACAAAAATCTGAAGTTTTCCTAGTTGCTCTTAGTATGTCAAAAAAATAAATAAAATAAATTTATAGGGTAAGTTTTAAGTGTTACATACATTTAGATTTCTGAAAGTAATATCGTTTTACTCTATTTCTTACTTTTAGGATAACACCCCTAAGGCTGTCTGGCACTATTTTTCTCTGGCAATCCACATCAAACGTGCAGTGATACTAACATTTTTATTTTAGCAATTCAAATTCGCTAGTTTACCCCTACTCATCTAGGAGGAACATTAAGATAACTCACTGTTCAAGTAATGACTCTGTAGCACCTTACCACATTGATAGACAGTGACTGCAATGGAGTGGGCGTGGGACTTGATAATATGGGTGAATGCTGAAACCACAATGTTGTTCATGTGAAACCTTCATAACATGATTGTATATCAATGATACCTCAATTTTTAAAAAAAAGGTAAGTCAATGTTTTTGTTCACATAACTCTAGGGACAACAAATCAAAGATATAATCAAAAAGTTTTATGTCATCAGTCACGCTTCACAATCACAGACAACACTACCACTTACAAGGTTTCATCTTACTCTGCTGGAATGTAGGCTGGTTCAGTCCAGAGGTGCCCAGTTTCCTCTGCACAAAAGGATCGTTATTCACTGCAGGGAGTCCAAGAGCCCCAGTTCCTATACCAGTCAGACTGCCTGTGCCAAGACCACCTACTAGAAAGAATAAAGGCAGCCAGAAGTGTCATCCTTACTCACAGTCTTGACTTCACTCACATCAAAGATATAAGCTCTTATTTAAAAAGTTAGGGTCTTTGTTAATTCCCATACAATGTCTACTTAATTTTACAGACAACCAAAATAAGAAAACAAATACAGAAAATGCCAAAATTTTCTTCAGCAATTTGGAATCACCGATTTATATTCTTGGTAAAATATTAATATATGAATTTTAAACATATATAGGGCAGTCAAAATGAGAGGAACTCACTTCTCTCAATGATTAAAATTGACGAATTTCATGCTACTATCTTCTAGTTAGCATGAGCCAGAACTATTTCATTCTTCTCAACTTTAGGTAACAGAATCTCATAATAGTTAGGACTTTGCTAAGAAGGCCTTTAAAGTACAGTAACTTTCATTTCAATGGATGGATGATCAGGGCTAGAACCACATAGCAGCAGCATTAACTAGGTTACAGATTACAGTGTCAGAACATTTCAGTCCTTAAGTTTCAGTATTCTGTGAACGTGCTATACTCTGAAGGTACAGATGCTGATTACTTAGGAGAAACAAGTAGGGTACGGGGGGAGGGGGTGTAACTGTTACTTCCATATAAAGTTAAAAGCCAAAATACTTGGGAAAATTGAAAAATTTTAGGAATTTTACTATCATTTCCAAGGTAGGCAAAGTGCAATGAAGCAGGACATTTGCCTAAATCTGATGTGGGAAGTATTTTCTACCTTTATGATCCAATTTTCTATCTTTATTACGCCAATTTTGAGTAATTCATAAACCTGAGTCCTTTAACTAAACCTAAGTCCTTTAGAATGTGCAATTTACATGCCTGTTACTGTTTATACTATCATTTGATAATACAGAATCTTTAATGAAAACTCATAAAATTTACATTATTTTAGTTACAATTTGACTGAATATTACTAACAGTGTGTTTTTCTCCTCTGAACTATTGATGTTGGAGCAATTTGCACAATTTAGTTTAAGCAGCTTCCTTATCACAGTGACTCTTACCACAGACTAAGGATACAATGAAGCTTACACATAATCTGCGCCCTTCCCCACCACATCCCCTTACCTGGAAGCTGGGATGAAAGTCCTCCAATACCACTGAATGCAGTAGTCTGATTTGGGGTTGTAAGCGGTGGAAATGCTTTTGCTGGTGACTGAGGAGTACTGAATGCAGAACCCAAATTTGGAGGAAAACCCTGCATACTCTGGGTGTGAGGGGCAGCAGAACCACCTATACTAAGAGATGCCATTCCAGCGAGAGGGTCAATCTAAAGAAAATTATGAAAATATATACATAAACATATGCAGACATATGATACAACTAAAGCAATCTTTAGCAACAGGCTCTTCATAAGCTTAGTAAGTCAACTGCAAAAACGCATTCAACACAATGATATTTAAATACCCAAAAAAGCAAAGTGTGTTAGTCATCTTTCTACCTATGTCATAGATGGACAAGGTTGAAAGAGTAAGTCCCTACCTGTCTAAGTACCAGAGCCATAATGAGGGCTTCAAAACTTCCACACCGACATTGAAGACAAATTTGTCTCGCAGCTGAACTACTAAGCATTTAAGTAGTGACATGGGACAGTATATTAGGTTCTTCACAATTTCCAGTAAACCTCTTTAAAACAAAAAGTATCTCTCAAAGTAAGTAACTACTTTCAATACAATAAAAGCACTAGAAATTCGAAATAAAGCTTCCAGGCCAAACAAATACATCTTGTCAGATCTGACCATCTTAGGGGTTAGAGATCAGCTGTAATAAAAACAAAAATCAAGGTATGCTATTCATCAAAAGATTTTTTTAAATAGCTAATGATTGCACTTCCAACCTCTTTGTGGCATTATTTCAGACCTTCATGACTACAGAAAATGTTATCAAAATGCTCTTCATGCTGTGTAGCGTTGGTGATAGAGTGGTGAGCAGAGCTGCCTTCCAAAATGCCCTTCATAAAGTTACCACTGAAGAACCACCAAATGCTCTTTCTTTTTGTATATCCTGATATGCCATTCAGTGCAGCTGAAACACAGTGGAGTATGTTGCTCCCAGAGAAAAAGGGGTGGTAGTTGTCCAAGAGTACGTTCAATGTACCTTGTATTTAAAAGAGCAGTTCAGCTGAGAGCTAAAGAGCCCCAGTTATAACAAGTCTTTATGCTCTAGCACTGTTGCTTACCCATGAATCTACAAACAAGACACATCAGGTTCAAAGGCAGTGCTTATTTCTAAAGTCTAAGTTATTCTTATTTTTAAAACCTGTTACCATTTACCTAAATAAGTTGGTTTCTATCCCTCTCAGACACATTTCATTTAGCAATTAAAGTCTATCCTCAACTACAATGCCAATTTATGGATCTCCTTTAAAACAGTACTGGATGCCAGACATGCAATCTAAAATGTAATCAATTCAGACAAATTTGCCTTTGAGTAGATTATTAATATTCCATTCCAAGTCTGTGAATAAATGCATGCATCAATTGAAGCACTCCATTTACCTGAACAGGAGAAATGGCATCTAAGCTGCTAGCACTAGGAGGGCGTCCTTTTGGCATAACACCAGGTGGTGGTTGTCTGGCCTTGTTCATAACATTACTGCAGTTGGCTACCATAGTGAGGATGGTTTCTGATAACTCCTGAGAAACACTCCTAAAGACAGAAGATAAGTGAAAAATACCACTTCTTACTCCCCAAAACACCTACATAAACAAATCTGATTATCTAGTAAAGAAAACTTGATGGAACATATGACTAAAATTTCAACCATATCCCATGTCTTTGTGCCATTAATCAGTAGAATTTTTCTAAGCACTGGCATTCTCTTGCAATTGTATAATTTACACCTCTGAAACTAAAACCTTGTGTACAATGCAACCAATGTAGTTTAAAATACTCTAAGATACATACCATATTGTGAACCACTTTGTCAAAAATTATGCCCAAACTGATAAATAGCAAAGAGATGAGCAATTTTTATACTAGTTCCTAAAAGATACACCACTTATTTAAGAATAGATTAAAATGCAATACACACGATAACTACATTTGGCAAGCACAAAGAACTGACTATATTCTAAAATGTTAAACAGAATAAATGTTTATTTGACACAAACACTCACCTCCCTATCTTAGGGTGTTACTGCCTCCATAAATCTGTGGACTCACTGTATTCATAAACCCTATGCAAACTTGGTAGTGTCTTTACATCTATCCTTCTAAATTCAGAATCTTACTAGAGGCATTAAGAAGTTGTCAGTCAAAAGAGAAAATTGTTTCCCATTTGGAAAAAAAACAGATGAGGGTTTTCTACTTGTGTCACATGAAAAAAACAATGATTCCAACATGGACTACAAATGTAAATGAACAATGACTTGTTTTTTTAATCCACTGAAGCAACTAAGAAAAATATTAATATACCATAGAAAATAAAGAAGAGATGTCAAGGGTTGGGTCTACTTATCTACCTTAGAAATAAGAATAAAACCATTAATTTCCAAAAGATGCTGAAAAACAAAGATATTTCAAATGTAAGGACATGAACAGCTCTCTCCAGCCTCTATGTACCTACTAGATTCAAGTAACAGTTCCCCTATAACTAAAACTTTATGAAGATAACTATATTTCATCCTTCAAATCAGCGTATTTTCCATTAGACAAAGTGATGGGAAAATAATCATACAGCTGGTGGTTAAAAAGAACAGAAAACCTCCTACGGAGGGAAACTTTGCAATACTTAACTAAAATTATACATGTACCTCCCTTTAACCAACAGCTCCACTTCTAGTGTTCCAAATACACATTGGCAAAGATAATGGAAGCAAAACACCATTCACTGTGACATTATCTATGATGGAATGAAAACAATAGACGTGTCCACCAGTAAGAGATTGATCTACTAAGGCACAAAACATCTATTCAATGGAGTACTATGAAGCAATCAAGAGGAATAAAGACACAGGAATTCAATGGAGTGAACTCCAGAGTGAACAATCAAAGGAAAGAAACATGGTGCAGTAGTATATATGATACAATGCCTTTTCTATAGGAAGAGGGAAGCAACACTTGACCCTTGAACAACACAGGATTAAGGAGGGCCAAATACTACACAATTAAAAATCCCAATTCTCCGAATACCCCAAAACTTAGATACTAATAGCCTACTGTTGACGGGAAACCTTACCTGTAAGATAATCAATAACAAGTGTTTTATATGTTACATGTATTATATAATATGTTCTTACAATAAAGTAACCTAGAGAAAAGGGATTTTTCCCAACTGCTGCAGTTCTCGAAAAACATTTTCAAACATATTTATTGAAAACAATCCATATATAAGTTGATCTATGTACTTCAAACCCATGTTACTGAAGGCTCAATTGTATATAAATACAAAACATATTTTTTAAATGCAAAGAACACCCCAAAACATAAATTACAATGGTTACCTACAGAGAAGAACAAGGTGGAGGTGACAAAGTTTAGAGGAAGATTTCTCTGACTACAATTTATTTTAAAGTTTTTGACTTGAAAGCATATTTATGTTTTACTAATCACAAAAACCAAACAAAACAAAACAACACTTTAAATAAAAAAGCAACAGTTCCATAATGCCACTGGTTAATGGCTCCCAGTGGTAGATAACAATTTTCATATTCACTGAATATAAAATGCCTTCAAATTTTGAGAAACACCATTTTATGTGTTCAACAAAAATAATTTGTCTTACTGTAACTGTAAGTCACAAAGATGCATCATTTGAGAAATTTTAAAATATAAAGTGGTTATGAAAGCATAAAACTCTTTTAAGACAACACAGGCAAAATTCTCCTAAATGTAAACATGAGCAATTATTTCCTGAACGCATCTCCTCAAGCAAGGAAAACACAAGCAAAAATGAACACATGGGACTACATGAAACTAAAAAGCTCTGTACAGCAAAGGAAACAATGAGCAGAACAAAAAGGCATCTTAGAATATTGGAGAATATATTTGTAAATGACATATCTGACAAGGGGTTAACATAAAACTACATAAAGAATTCACACACCTCAACAACCAAAAAGCAAATAACCTGATTAAAAAATGGGCAGAGGATATGAACAGACATTTCTCCAAACAAGAAATTCAGATGGGCAACAGAAATATGAAAAGATGCTCCAGAGTGGATTAAAGATGGCAGCGTGAGAGGAGAGACAGAGGCTTCCTCCTAAAACTGGACAAAATAAGAAAATATAGTTGGCGCAACTAATCCTGAGAGAGCAACAAGAAAGAGGACTGCACCAGACTGCACACACCCGGAGAAAAGAGCAGACCTCATGGAAAAGGGTAACGTATCAAAGTGGTGACCAGGCAGGACCCATGCCCTTCCCCCACCCCAGTTCACCGGCTGAAGGAAGAGAAACGGAGCAGGGAGGGAGTAGAAGTCCTTGGACTGCTGAATACCTAGCTCCGGAGATCTGCTCTAGGAGCACAAACCTACATTTCATGGTTGCTTGCATGATACTCGCACGACTACCAGGTTGGAAAGTTAACACACGCAGAATTCCTGGAGAGACTGACATTTCAGCTGCTTGTGGAAAGCAGGGATCCATATTCGGCTACTCTGGTACAAAAGCTTATACCTGTGTGCTTGACCCACTGGTTCAGGCAGTGGAGACAGGCATAGCAGCCGGAAAGTGAGGAACAGCTCTTTCCCCCACCCAGGCACCAATACCACTCCCCTGCGACACCCAACATTGCTTCAGGGGCTGAGTAGAGCTTCTGGACACTAGAGGGTGCCATATACAAATATGAAACACCAAAAGAACATGGTCCAGAGTAAAATTAATATAACTCTGGATAAAGATTTAAATGACATGGACCTTAAGACTCTTCCTGAAAGGGAGTTCAAAATAAAAATCATCAACACGCTAATGGAGGTACAGAAAGATATCCAAGAACTCAGGTAAGAATTCAGGTCGGAGATCCAATCACTGAAGAGCACAATGGAGGGCACTAAAAACAGGTTGGATACAGTGGAGGAGATGATAAATGAAATAGAAACTAGAGAAGAGGAATACAAAGAAGCTGAGGCACAGAAAGAAAAAAGGATCTCTAAGAATGAGAGAATATTGAGAGAACTGTGTGACCAATTCAAACAGAGTAACATTTGCATCATAGGGATACCAGAAGAAGAAAGAGAAAGGGATAAAAAGTGTCTTTGAGGAGGTAGTTGCTGAAAACTTCCCCAATCTGCAGAAGGAGATAGTCTCTCAGGCCACGGAGATCCACAGATCTCCCAACACAAGGGACCCAAGGAAGACACCACCAAGACATATAGTAATAAAACTGGCAAAGATCAGGGATAAGGACAGACTATCAAAAGCAGCCAACGAAAGAAATAAGATCACATACAAAGGAAAGCCCATCAGGCTAACATCAGACTTCTCAGCAGAAACCTTACAGGCCACAAGGGAGTAGCATGATGTATGTAATGCAATGAACCCAAAGAGCCTCGAACCAAGATTACTTTATCCGGCAAGATTATCATTTAAATTTGAAGGAGGGATTAAACAATTCCCAGATAAGCAAAAGCTGAGAAGAATTTACCTCCCACAAACCATCTCTACAGTCTAATTTGGAGGGACTGCTATAGATGGAAGTGTTCCTAAGGTTTAATAGCTGTCACCATAGGAAATAAAACCACAGTAAAGAAAGTAGAACGGCTAATTACTAAACAAATGCAAAATTAAAATAATTATCCCCAAAGTCAATTGAGGGACAGACAAAGAATACATAATAAGATACCTAATATATAAAGAATGGAGGAGGAAGAAAAAGGAGTAGAAAAAGAAAAGAACCTTTACATTGTGTTTGTAACAGCATATTAAGTGAGATAAGTTAGACTCTTAAATAGTAAGGAAATTAACCTTGAACCTTGGGGAACCACAAATCTAAAGCCTGCAATGGCAATAAGTACATATCTATCAATAATCACTCTCAATGTAAATGGACTGAATGCACCAATCAAAAGACACTGAGTCACAGAATGGATAAAAAAAAAACAAGACCCATCTATATGCTGCCTGCAAGAGACTCACTTTAAACCCAAAGACATACACAGACTAAAAGTGAAGGGATGGAAAAAGATATTTCATGCAACTAACAGAGAGAAAAAAGCAGGAGTTGCAATACTTGTATCAGACAAAATAGACCTCAAAACACAGAAAGTAATGAGAGACAAAGAAGGACATTACATAATGATAAAGGGGTCAATCCAACAAGAAGATGTAACCATTATAAATATCTATTCTCCCAACACAGGAGCACCAACATATGTGAAACAAATACTAACAGAATTAAAAGAGGGAACAGAATGCAATGCATTTATTCTTGGAGACGTCAACACTCCATTCACTTTTAAGGACAGATCAACCAGACAGAAGATAAGTAAGGAGACAGAGGCACTGAACAACACATTAGAACAGATGGACCTAACAGACATCTATAGAACTCTACACCCAAAAGCAACAGAATACACATTCTTCTCAAGTGCACATGGAACATTTTCAGTAATAGATCATCTACTAGCCCACAAAAAGAGCTTCAGTAAATTCAAAAATACTGAAATTCTACCAAGCAGTTTCTCAGATCACAAAGCTATGTAACTA